CCTGCACACAACTCTGGTAACGGGGGCTACCCGTGAGTTTGGACAGGTGCCCGTACACTTTGTGCGGTGTTGGATTCATCTGTGCCAAGATGGTGGACATATCCCGTAGTGTGGTTCCGGACCGGATGGTGTTGATGATGATCAAGGAGTTTTGTATGAGTTTTAAGTTGTGATGATGTATTAGTTGTACCCGTTATGTATTAAGGCAATGATGTAATTGTAAGACTGTATGAGTATTCCAGACAATTTTATTGGATAATGATATATATTTTGTGAGCAGTTGAGCTCCTCTGTAATGGTTTTAATGATGGATTAATGACAGAAAGGTTTTGCCATGTTACTTTAAAGGTTATTGATGTAGTGGTTAACATTGCCTACCTGTAACTATGAACGGAATGTTTGGAATTTCACTTGTTAAGGTTTTGCTTTGGACAGGATGGGACGCGATGTCTTAGAAGTCGTTGTCTAGCCTTAGTGGTTGGGAAGGGGCACTGTTCTCTTGAGTATATGGATGTTAAGTGTACAAGTTGCGGATCGAGTTGTTTTGTCTCTATTTGATTCCTTTTTCTTGGCATAGCTTATGCAAGGTATCGATAGATATGTGTTCTGTTCTGTTGCGGTAGAGGGACTTGATCTTCCTTCTTCTTGTGTTGGTCCTGGCAAGGACTTTCTTGTTTGTGAGTTTTATATCTCCACATAGGAGTTGTGCGTGTCGGTGGGCGAAAGAACTTTTTAGAGCTCTCTCCTTGTTGAGGAATCCGAATGAAGGTTTGTTCTGAATTGCTTGACTTATCTCCATGGTTGGAGGTGAAGTTCTTGGTTTTGCGGGATTCGTTCCGAGATGTTATGATCAATGCTGCGTGAGACGCGACTTGTCGACCGGTGTGTACGTTTTCTTAGGGTCTTAGAATTAGTGATAGTATCTAGTAGTTATGAGGTGACTTGTGTGTTGGGGATGGTTTGACCGTGTGTCTAGAGTAGATATAGGGAGTAATCTGTAAGTGTGTTTGAGGATTAGACCTGAAGACAAGAACGATGTTGGTGTTAAGGTCAGATCGACGATGGGAATGGCCTGGCTAACCATTTCTCTGAGTCAGTCTTTCTTTAACACAATGTTGGGTCAAAGGTCAACGATCATTCATTTTAGTATGCTTAGAGATAATCAGAATACGGTGTTGTGCATTGCATACGTGTGGTAGTACAATTCCAATTTAGAGTGAATCTTGATTAGGATTAATGGTATTCTTGTACATATTCAGGTCACTTGTTGTGAATGGTAGTGTACTTGGTATGGGACTACGTGTCCAAAGAGTTTCAGTTGTTAGATCAGTTGATCCTTGAACAATACTGATGGGTTGTTTTCTGGGTACCTAATGGTACACTTGACAGGTCGGATGATTCTCTCGATTACAGTCGTAGGTGTTCAGCTATGATGTAGCTAGTGAAGACAGTAGTTGTCAAAAATGGTTTTAAGAGTTTCCTTGGGATCGAAAGTTGAGCTTGCATATTGATTCGATGAGCGATTTTGTAACTATAGTTTTGTGGGCCTTGGGGCGTTTGATGCGGATGGGGTAAGGCGCTGCTGGTTGGACCTACTGTGTATGGGATCCAACAACTTTCCAGTAGAATGTCTCGTATGGACAGCATTAGTGTGATTTTATGAATCGGGTTAGTTTTGATCGGGGTTAAGTGTCGTGGTGACTGGATTGAAGGATTTTCTTCGTGATGCATGTCTTCGTGTAGGTTAACTGAAGTCGTCATTTGTGGATTCAGTTCCACCTAGTGGTATGTTCTGGTTGGAAGGATAAAAATCCTAATGGTTCTCAGTGGTCAGGACTCAGTGGAGTCACAGAGTTGGTTGCGGGCTTGTGCCTTGTGTGCATAAAGGTGGCGGTGGAGAATTTTGTTTGGTACTGCGATGCCTTTTTCGTTTAGTTGGTTGTCGTGGGGGAAAGGTCACATGTGACTACGGTTACTGATCGGTCATTGTTGTGCTAGATCACTAGCACAGGGTTGCGAGTGACGTAGAATGTGAGATTCTCTAGATGGGGATTTTAAGGTATAGCGTATTGCGTGGGGTACTCGGAGACGTACTCCGTTTTTGTATCCTCTCGTCTTTCTCTTGTGAGGTGGATTGATTTCAGGGACGAAATCTTTTGAAGTTAGGAAGATTGTAACATTACCGATTTTTCCTATTTTCTAATTTCTGAATTTATTTGATTTTTCTGGATTATTTAAATCCTTGCCTCATTTTGCGTGCCACGCGGGCCTTGAGGGGCGTTATCGGCATTTTCACATGTGTATGTATATTTATATACATGTATGTATTTGTATTAATGGTATTATATGGAGGGTGGTATTTAATGGCAAGGTTGATGATAAAAAGAAGTTTAAAGGGCATTTTCGTCATTTTAGCTCCATGGAATAGCCTGGAGAATTCTAGAGACATGAGTGTGGCTTTAATTTTTGACCTATTCTTTTCTTCTTTCAATTTTCGGACCACACCCACCCTACAAGCTCTCTTCCTCCATTTTCTTCTTTCTCTCTCTATCTCTCTCTTCCTTCTCTCTAAAATTTTTTCATGCTAGAGAGGATTTGGTTTAAGCCATTGATTGGTTGCTATCTTGAGGTAGGGGAAGTTTAACTTACAAATTTCCTATGGTTTTAGTGAGTTTCTATATGCCTCCTTGCATGATAATTTTAAGGTTGTGAAGCATACTTAGTTTGTTAAAATATTGGTGGTGATGTTGAGCATGAATTGTGATGGTTAAATTGTTGAAGAATGAGAAAATGATGGTTTCTTGTATTTATGCCAAGCATGCTACTTTTCTATGAGAAAATGTAAAAGTATAATCTATGATATTAAATTCTATGTTTGGATGTTTGATATCATAACTTAAAGGTAAAATATAACTTGTATAATGATGATTGGTTGTATGACATGCATATTTATGGCATGAGGGTGAGTTGAGAAGATGAAGGTTAATGTGGAAAAGAGGGTTAGAGAATGAGATGGGGGTTTGTGTGGTAAACCAAGGTGATGGTTAGGAAGGTGGTAGTGAGGTTGGGTTGGAAAGAAAGAAGGAGACATTGCATTTTATATTTGATGGTACAAACTGTGAAATTGTGAATTTCATAAACTTTGAAATGATTTAATCCCATGATCCCTTTTCTTGAATCTCATTCTTTGGTTGTGGCTCACAAGATTATTAGGAATGTGATTTAGGCTTTACTCTACTGAGTAGTTGAGCTCACCCCATCAACATTAACATTTTTCAGGGACTTAGAGATGAGTCGGTAGTTGATGTGCATCCATGTACATTGATGTAGTTTGGAAATTCACTTCCATCTTGTTTATATTAAAGTTTTGTGAATGTTGGCTATGGAGGCCCCAACCTTGTATTTAATCCTTGGATATTGTATAAAATGAGACTTATGTAATCCGGTCTTTAAATGATGTATTGGAACTTGTTATGTATCCTACAAAAATTTTGTTATCAATATGTATTATTTTTGCAACATGTAAACTGATTGCATTCATTTTGTATATGGCCCTTGGAGTAATGTAATTAAATTTTATTTACACTAAATCCTTTAGTGGGTTTTAAGTGACGTGTTACAATTTATGTTAACAAAGGTTGTTGTTTTTGGATTAAATGTTGAAACGTATTTAAATTACACGTGAGTGTAGTGACGTGAGTGGTTGAATCACCAAATGTTGGTGTATTTGGGTTATCACTAAACAGTGGGAAAAGAAGTGAGAATTTCCCAGAACCGGTCGACGTGTGGCTTCCCATACGTCGTTCGGTATCATGTCCCAAACCAGTCGACGTATGGCTTCCCATACGTCGAACGGTATCCATTGTAACTCATGTTCGAAACCAGTCGACGTATGGGGTACATGTTCGAAACCAGTCGACGTATGGCTTCCCATACGTCAACCGGTATCTCGGCAGTGGGTATCAGTACTGTTCACGTCCCAAACCAGTCGAAAGCATATACGTCGACCGATTTCTGTGTCATATGTAATTGCTATTTTAAATTCTTAAATTACACTTCGGTACCCAAGTGAGGTTACACGTAATTATTTTATGACCTAAATAAATGCAATAATTATGTTTTGACCACCGAAAGGACTATATTGGCCCGAGCTTCTTTTTATCTATTATGTGATGCAAGTAAATGACTATTTTACCATTTGAGTCTCAATTTATTGAATTATGGCAAATTACTATTTTGCCCTTTTTGGACTTTGATATTTAAATTTAGCGTGAAGTGGCTGTATTACCCTCGGACATTTTTGGGTCGGGTAAGGAACCGTTTAATAATCCGGATCTATGAGGAGCTGGGTCGTTACAAAAGTGCACCTGTTTGGTTCTCTCTGCTCCTCTTTTCATGTTAATCTACTCTTGATCCTAAGGATGATGTTTTGATCATTTGGGAGAGACTAGTTTGATCCTAAGGATGATGCTTTGACGCTAAAATGGATGAGTTTGACCTAAGTGACCTCGGGTTCGAAGTAAGTATCCGACTAACGGTTCGGGCCTCCGGGTTCAGGTCGTTACACCTTCTCTCTCTCTTCTCATTAATTTCTTTCTTTCTCCCTACGCTAAACCATCGCTCCCTCTCCCTCTTGTTAGTGTCTTTTTCCGCTCATTCTCTATACCAGAACATGTTCTTGATCAAAATATGTTCCTCGACCAACTCAAATTTGTGTGTGTCTCTCTCTCCTTTCACTCTATAGAGAGAATATTGAAGATAAGTTGTTAGAGAAATATTAGATGACCTAACGTAGCTTGTGAAAAATGTCTTACAAAAACTTTTTGATAAATCATTTTTAATTATTTAGAGGTCAAATAATTTATATGAAAAATAATTTCATGACCTTGGAAAATAATTTCTGAAAATAATAAAGAAAATAATTTCTAAAAAATATTTTAAGAGGAAACAAAAGAAGCCTAAAAATTCAAAATGTTTGTAATTGCTAGTTTTTACCATTATCACACTTAGAATCATGTTATTGCTACATGATCTTTCCAGGTTTCCGAGGGAAATTCACATTCTCTTCTTTTTCAAATCAATACCACCTGTTTCATTGTAGATATAATACTCCGTAACATACAGACAGGATAGATTACAGAGACGCGGGAAAACATGACAAGTTTACCTCAACCCCTATTTAATTTGAATAATTTCCACCAAAACCACTAAGATGGCCAGAAGATACCATCATCCTCTTCATAACTGTCCATCATCTCTGATTTAATTCTAATCATGAGCTCCTTACGCTCTACCGTGAAACACCCAACAATTTCCCTTGTTGAATCATGCACAAACCTCAGAGAGATCAAGCAAGTCCACACCCAACTGCTCATCAACGGCCTTCTTAACGACCCTCTCATCCATGGCCAATTTGTTGCCTCCATTGCCCTCAATCACTCCAACAATCTACAATATTCCAACCAAGTCCTAGACCAATGTCACACCCCAACTCTCTTTCCCCTGAACTGTTTGATCAGAGTTCACTCCAAAAGCTCAAACCCTCAAAGAAGCTTTCACTTCTATAACAAAATTCTACACTCGAGCAACAATCTGTCACCTGATAATTACACCTTCACTTTCTTGGTTCGCACCTGTGCTCAGCTTTTGGCCCGGCAGACCGGTCCGGCAGTCCACGCCGGGGCTATAAGACATGGGTTTCAAACTGACCCACATGTTAGAAGTGGATTGATTTACATGTATGCTGAATTGGGTCACTTGGATTGTGCTCACAAAGTGTTTGTGGAAATTCCTGAGCCGGATTTGGTGGCCCAGACCGCAATGGTGAGTGCTTGTGCCAAACTGGGACATGTTGGTTTTGCGCGGGAACTGTTTGATAATATGCCTCAGCGGGACCTTGTTGCATGGAGTGCGATGATATCCGGGTATGCACAGTGTGGGCAGTCTGTGGAGGCATTGAGTTTGTTTCACTTGATGCAAATGGAGGGTGTGAAGGTTAACGAGGCGACGTTGGTTTCGGTTTTGTCTGCATGCACTCACTTAGGAGCATTGGATCAAGGAAGATGGGCTCATGCATTTATTGAGCGAAACAAGCTGCGAATGACTGTGACACTTGGGACTGCACTCGTTGACATGTATGCGAAATGTGGGAACATGAATAAGGCAATGGAAGTTTTCTGGGGAATGAGAGAAAAGAATGTGTACACATGGAGTAGTGCCATGGGTGGGCTGGCAATGAATGGATTAGGCAAGGAGTGTCTTGAGCTTTTCTCTCTAATGAAAAAAGAAGGGGCTCAGCCCAATGAGGTCACATTTGTTTCTGTTTTACGGGGTTGTAGTGTTGTTGGATTCATTAATGAAGGTCATAGGCATTTCGACTCAATGATAAAAGTGTATGGGCTTGAGCCTCAGCTTGAGCATTATGGGTGCATGGTTGATTTATATGGTCGGTCTGGCCATTTAGATGAAGCTTTAGATTTCATAAATAACATGCCTGTGAAGCCTCATGCTGGTGCTTGGGGAGCTTTGCTTAATGCTTGTCAGATCTATAAAAATAAGGAATTAGCTGAACTTGCCTCAAGAAAGTTAGTAGAGCTAGAGGCCACGAATCACGGGGCATATGTGCTCTTGTCAAATATCTATGCTGATTTTAAGAACTGGGATAGGGTCAGTGTTGTGAGACAAACAATGAAGGATAGAGGTGTTAAAAAGCTCCCGGGTTGTAGTGTTATAGAGGTCAATGGCCAAGTTCATGAATTTTTGGTTGGAGATAAGTCCCATCCTTGGTATGGTGCAATTGAGGCAAAGTGGGAAGAGATATCCAGGAAGCTGAAATTATCAGGTTATGCAGCTAACACTAATCATGTTCTTTTTGACATAGAAGAAGAAGAGAAGGAGGATGCTTTGTGTAAACACAGTGAGAGAGTCGCCATTGCTTTCGGTTTGATCAGTTTAAATGAAAGTGTGCCAATTAGGGTTGTGAAGAACCTCCGTGTTTGTTGGGATTGTCATGCTGTAACAGTGATGATATCTCAAATTTATAACAGAGAGATCATAGTGAGAGATGGGAATAGGTTTCACCATTTCAAAGATGGGGAATGTTCTTGCGAGGGTTATTGGTGAAATAATTGATCTTATTGTAACTTGAATTTCATTCATTAAAGGATGCGGTCATTGAGGACGGGCTTGGCACAACGGTAAAGATTGCTCAATTGTGATCTGGGGAGCTAACGAATTCCAAACAAGAACAACATGCGGAGTTTAGACTATTTACATCTAACTCTCCTCAAGCGGCGGGAGCGTCGTGCACTGGGCTAGCCCTAAAGGACGATGGTCATTCCTTATCAATGCCATCAGTGAGTTTCTCTCTATTTTTCCTATTTTTCAATTATTATAGCAACCTCTTTTCTCTACTTTCATTCCGTCCTTCCTTTCATTTCATGTCAGTTCAGTCCAGTTTGTGAATTCTTCCACCCAGTGATAAAGCAGTTTCAAGTGTCTCTGCTTTTTAAGATGTGGGTCAAGATTTAAAAAAAAAAAAAAAAAAAAAAAAACAGTTGAGATTAACATATTAATTGTCCACATACATTGTTGATGGGAAGATAATTTCTTGTATTGTCAGTCAAAATTTCAGACCTTTTTCTTCCAAATACATTCATGTCAATTCATGCTACGTTTAGTACAAACTTGTTATTCATTTCAACGTGATTGACTGAAGTGCATTCACCAACCGAATTGAATTGAATGTAGCAAACTTATGTAGTTTAATCTTATCTCCTCTACCTTCTAAAGTTGAAGGCCAAAGCGTTCTAAAGCGGGTGTATGTGACGTCCCACATTGTCTCACATCACCTGGGATAGAAGTTGCTGAGATTTATATTTGTGGACACCTCTTGACTATGTAGACGTGTGTTTGAAAACCGTGAATACGAAGATTATGCAAAGCGGACAATATTTACACAAGTTGGGGCGGGTCTTGACAAAGTATAACTTAAGATGGTTTCTTTGACAACCCTAATGAAAAACACTTTTCACTTTTGGTCATTTTCAAGGAGGAAGAGGAAGAGGAGAAAAAATCTGGTACAGAACCTTGACAGATTAACCCTTCACAAACTTGCTGAAAAGCCAAGTGTGAAAACTTAAGAGACTACATATATATATATATATATATATAGGTTAAGAAGGGAAGTAATTGTTAATGCTTATATGCTTCATTTGATTTTTGACTGATAAAGACACACCCCACTGTGTGAAGACCATGAAAAAAGAGGACCTTTTTAAACAAAAACTTACCTAACAGGCATGCAAATTTAGGCAAGTTGCCTAACCATTTAAGAAATTCACTTTGGACTATAGAAAATGGAGATGCTATAACTGTAAATATGCTTACTGACTTGGTCCCCATTCCATCTCATCACTTTTTGTGGTTTGCGTATGATTTTTTTAAAAATTTATTTTTATTCTTTTGTCAACTGTTGGACCTTTTAAAGTACTTCATAATTCACCACTGGGTATATGTAATTCCCCCATCCCACATGCATAGAGCAATTACCAGGAAAGAAAAACAAAAGCTCATTGTTTTTGTGTGTCGTGTTGTTTTTAGATTTAGCCAGCGTTCTGTCTTTTAATATATCAATTTGAACCAATTCGTTAGGTTGTTAAGAAAAAAAACTCTAATATTAGGGTGGTGTTTGATAATTCAATTCAGTATTAATTTTAAAAGCATTAAGATTATATTCAGTTATATGGAATTAGAATTGATAAAATTAAAGAAAATCACAAATTAACTGTGACAAAATTTGAAGTCTTTACCCATTTTTTTTTAGAGATATTTTCTTTGAGGGTCCTGTGAAAGCATTACCTTACCTAATTGTATTAAGGGGTCTCAAATAACCATTTTTTATTATCTAATTCGTGCATTAATCTTCATTTTAAAATATAGTCAAATGTGTGAAAGCAATACTTGCTAATCACTCTCTCTCTCTTCACCATTACAGAGCTTGCTAGTCATTCTCTCTCTCTCTCTCTCTCTCTCAATCTAATTCGTGCATTAATCGAAGTTCGCGAAAGTTAACGACTTTTTTTTTTTTTTTTAAAGGTAAAGTCAATGATTCTTAAAGCTTAAACGTCTCAATTAATTATGATTGTCCCTAATCAAACTTCTCCAAAGCCAATGATTTTCTTTTTTATTATTTAAAAAAAAAAAAAAAAAGAAAGTAAAGTCGATGAATCTTAAACTTTCATCTCTAATTCGTTTCCATGTAAAAGATGCTTGCTTGCAAGCAGGCACGGAATTGCCCCCTGATTTTTTGTTTTACTAATATACCCTTGTAAATTTGTGTTGTTTCAATTATATACGCATAAAATATTACTATTTCTCTCCCTTTAAATTACTAAAAATTTCATTATTGTCCCATAACGTAACCATTGATTAAATTATTACCACCTCTAAAATAAGTCCTAAATTTATTAATATGCTTATAAAATTAAAATAATGTGATTATAATAAAAATTAGTATTAATTTTATCTTTTCTGATTTTAAAGTGAAAAGTAAAAGGTAGCATTGTAAGAGCGAAATGTATAAGGTTCGAACCTCTCAAAAGCATTGTGTAAATTTCTTGTCAAATATATATAGATATGTATAATAAATAAAAAAATCTCAAGTACCCTTGATACGAGACTAGGCGTCCCTACTTAATTTAATGACCCATTTCTTCAATATATAATATGCACACTTTACATGAAAAAAAATGAGGAGCAATGCTGTGGGCTTGAGGGACCCTACTAGGGGCAGTTTCACTTTGATGAAAAACAAAACAGATTATAATACAATCACTTCAATGTATGTTCTCTCTAGAAGAACTATGTAATATTACATGAATAAAGTTTCAAGAATATTGATTATATGTTAAAGAATGTGAAAAAAGAAAAGTAAGGCTGCTGAAAGTATACTAACATTCCTGCAACCAAGATGCCAATTTTTTCACCATGTTTGGGAGAATAAGAATTTTTCTTTGCGGCGCCAATCGTTTTAGATGATTATGAATATATACATATATATATATATATAGAGAGAGAGAGAGAGAGAGAGAGAATAAAAGTTTGATTCCATTCGTGTATATCATCCACTTATCTGATCAACTTTATGTTTTGGTTGGAATATGAACTTCATTTTCTGCATTAAAGGGAGTTAATTTTCACCTTTTTTCTCTTGAGTTCTTAGCCTCTCCCTTGGCATCTCTTCAATCTTTATTTCACAATTACAGAAAAAGCCACAAAAGCATGAAAAGGGTCAGCTTTGAATATTTGAAACTAGGGTTTTGAAAAGACTTATTTACTTATGGGACGGGAAATTCACTTGTTCAAAAATGGAATGAGGATAGAAGGGAGTCCAAACTAAAGGATTGCATGGAAAAGTTCTTCTAAAGAAAAGGTAAGGATTAGCGCTCGAATAGAGTTGATCTAAAGCAAATTTATGTGAATTCGACCAGATCCGTATCTATATATTAATGTCGACATATATCTATATCTGAATTGAATGATATGAACGTGATCCGATTAAATGTAATTCATCTTAATTATTGAAGTAAAATAAACTCCGGTAATTTACTTACTGGATAGGGAATTCACTTGTTCAAAAATGGAATTAGGATAGAAGGGAATCCAAACTAAACGTTTGTATGGAAAAGTTTTTATGAAGAAAAGATTGGGTTTAGTGCTCGAATGCATTTGATCTAAAGCGAATTTATGTGATCCGTGTCTATATTTTAACGTTGATATCTATATCTGAACCGAATGATATGAACATAGATCCAAATCTAATTCGTAATATTAAAGTAAAATCAACCTGGGTAAGTTACTTATGGGATAGGAATTCACTTGTTCAAAAAATGGAATCAGGATAGAAGGAAATCCAAAGTAGAGGCTTGCATGAAAAAGTTTTTATCAAGAAAAAATTGGTCTCATGCTCGAATGGAGTTGATCTAAAGCGAACTTATATAAATTCAGATCTATGTGTTCTGTCAACATTTATATCTGAGTCGAATAATATGAATATGATTCATATCTTATCAATATTATTTAAAGTAAAATATACTTTATCTTTGAATCGAATTGAATCTCGAATAAAATTCCATTCCGTTAAGAATTATCCAAATTCATACCTGGCATGAATTTGTCACATCATGTAATTGCTATCATGGCACTTATAGGCCAACTAATATTCCTATGACAACCTAAGTAGGCATTGAAATTGAGTACTACTGTGTTAGGATCCATTTTTTCTGAATAAAATTTTTATCTAACGCAAAAGTGCATTTGTTATTAGGATAATTTGAGATACACGTTACGAAAATGTTGTAACGTTTGATTATGCATCTCAATATTTTTTCGTGCATCTGAACTTTCTGTCATCGGTTAGGACAGATGCATTATTGCGCTAAATTTTTATTTGCTATTATTTTTTAAATGGCATTGGATATAGGACAAACAAGAATGATATGCATGCCCCAGTAAATATAATTAAACTTCAACAATAACATGTGACAATATATTAAAGTGGTTTATTGGAAATAAGAGTAGGTCAACTCGAGTCTCATTATTTAGACTTATTCATGAAATTGGTATATTTATTTAAATCAAACTTGTGGATTAGACTGAGAAGTTGAAGAAAATATACCATTACCAAATATGGATTGGAACCATTGTCAAGAAACATGAGGACTATTTGAAATATAACTTCTAAAGTGAGGATGGAAAGGAAACTACAGAGAGTGCAATTACTTCTCAATTCATAGAAATGACACTTATAATTTGAGTATTTTAGAGAATTCCATCGTGTTTGATTCCTTTTTTTAATAATTGTCCAATGTATAAGGAATTTGGTGGTAAATTTCGAAGTATTTTAAAAGGCTGATGCTACCATCATTAACCATATATATATAATTTAGGTGCATAAAGAGCTATAGTTTTACTATGAGAAAGTAATGCGGCGGTGAGTATGGGAAATCACGCGGTTGATGGTGCAGAGAAGATGCCACCCATAACAGAAAACAGAGTGGACCCACATAACATGAATAGCCGACCCGGATTTGTTGGACCAACCAACATGAAATTTCAATAATAAGACAACCAAAAATTATAAATAATCTTAGACAAACAAATAATTATTAAAAATCGTATGAGCTGTGTGCACGAGAAAAGAGCAGACTCTCAGAGTCTACATGGGCCACTTTCTTCCTCATGCAAAGCTGTCTTCTTCTTCTCCTCTCTATGCACACCCGTATCACTCATATCTTATTTATTACATTCCAAACACGCCCTCTCTCTCTCTCTCCCTCTCACTTGCGTGTTGAAGCTCCTCAGGAGGACCACTTCAAAATTTCAACTTCAAATATAAAATCAATTACTTTGGATATGGAAGTGAGATTTGTTAATTTTGTTTATTAAAAAAGAAAAGCATTCTTGCATGATCATATGCAAAGTCAAAATAATAATGTTTATGAGGGACAAAATATCTAAGGGCGTGAGGTGTCACAAATGAGTTACGATTGTAATAACCATTCATTATGTTATGAGATAGTTGCATAAATTTTACAAGTTAAATGATTAAAACTCTCATCTCATATTTTAGAGTTTAAATTCTCTTAAATCACTTTAAGAAAAAAAATTTCAATAATTATCTAGTGTACGATGAAAAATATG